TTATTAATTTTCGCGCGTACTTAATTTCGCGAATATTCGGGAGCCGCATTTCGCGAGGACTAATTTTTACGATTGGTAAAAAAATTAGAGAAAAAGGGTTCTAAATTTTTGTTTTCATCCTGAGGAAAGGGCACTTGTCACAAATCAATAAAACATATACAGTGGAACCCCGTTAATGCAACCACCGTTGGGCCATAAAATCGTAATAACGATGTGGTCCCATTAACGGGGTCTTTAAAATAATAAAATGACTCAATGGTTTTTACGTTTGGTTTGAAAGAATATGGCCGTAATAACGAGGTGGTCTTATCTGAACGGGCTGGTCGTAAGGCGGGGTTCCACTGTACATTTCAAGAGCAAGATTGTAAACTTACAACTGTCCTACATGTACATAGAACCTTATGAACAAGACAAAACATAACTGCTTGCTGAACAGAAAGCGATAGCGGACTTGCTTGATTCTCCCTTCAGATTTTCGGTCTGAATAATAAAATTCACTTTTCCCCAGCTAATGCTAATAGTAGCGCAAGTTTTAAAAAGAAAAATGGTTTGAAAATGACGGTTTTGCTCATTCACAAATAACAAACAAACTTGCGAATAAAGCTACCAACAATTCCGCCGGGGTAAGCGGGCAAGATCGTAAAATACCGCCCGCTCTCGGAACTAATCAGATTACAGGATTTGGAGGATTCTGCCCGCTCTCAAGCTTGGAAAAAAATAAAAATGGTATTGAATTTCGCGTGTTTAATTTTTGCGCAATCTTTTGTCTGTGCGTATTAAATTTCGCGTATTTTTTAAAATCGCGAAAATAGCGAAATTTAGTAAGAATAAGGCATATGTTAATCATCAAAACCGTTCTCTGCATGACTCGTTTGCATTTGATGCCAAAAGTAAGCTTAAAATTGACGTCTCAGATTATCCTATATGATGTACTGTTAGCGCTGGGAACATCGACATGCTGTCAACTGAAAGATTTTTAACCTTCAAGAAGGAAAGGTTTGATAATGAAGCGTCCGCATTAGCGAGGTTGACTTTCTATGAGAATCTCACTGTTGATTTGGCATGAAAGAAGTGTCCCTTGTCCGCTTTAACGGGTGTCCATATTAAGCGGACGGTCTCGCAAACTCTCGAATTTACTGTTCTATACCTCTACATAACTAACCCGTATAAATATCACGTGTGCTAAAATTCTACAAAACTGCAGTTATTTGAGTCGTTTAAATGTAAACAACGGAACGACGCAGTAGGTTATTAACAACATTATTTGAAAATAGTGAAGAGTCATCTTAGCGACGCCTCTTACAATTAGCAAATTCGAAATCAGTTTGATCCGGTCTGCGCTTTTGCGGCTGATTCAACTGTGCACGGTCATAAGCATCAGGCACCTGCTGCTGGAAATCCAAAACACGCTGCACATCAGCTAACAAACGGGACAATTTCGTGACATCGGCATGATCAGGTCCAAGCGTATTCAATTTAATATACAGAGCACGTTCATAATACTTCTTGGCCTGCTGATTGTCACCCAGGTTGCCATGTACGTAACCCATGTTATGGTAAGTACTCGCGACGTCAACATGGTCGGGTCCAAGCTTATTAAGTCGTATGGACAGGGCACGTTCATAATACTCCTTGGCCTGCTGATTGTCACCCAGGTTACGATATAGGTTACCCATGTTATGGCAAGTACTCGCGACGTCAACATGGTCGGGTCCAAGCTTATTCAGTTTTATGGACAGGGCACGTTCATAATACTTCTTGGCCTGCTGATTGTCACCCAGGTTGCCATGTACGTAACCCATGCTATGGTAAGTACTCGCGACGTGAACATGGTCGGGTCCAAGCTTATTAAGTTGTATGGACAGGGCAAGTTCATAATACTTCTTGGCCTGCTGATTGTCACCCAGGTAGCTATGTACGTTACCCATGCTATGGCAAGTACTCGCGACGTCAACATGGTCGGGTCCAAGCTTATTCAGTTTTATGGACAGGACACGTTCACAATACTTCTTGGCCTGCTGTTTGTTACCCAGGTTGCAATGTAGGGGAACCATGTTATGGTAAGTAGTCGCGACCTCAATATGGTCGGGTCCAAGCGTATTCAGTTGTATGGACAAGGCACGTTCATAATACTCCTTGGCCTGTTGATAGTCACTTAATCGCCAATGAACGTTACCTATTTTACGGTAAATGCGCCAGACCCGCTCAACATGTCCATGGTCAGACCCTGTCCTTATCGTATTGTCTTCAATGAGTTTTAAAGCTACACTGAAATACTTCATTGCGGACACATACTCGCTATGAAACAAGCAAACTTGACCAAGCATCTCAAAGTTATCTATAAAATTGTGTATATTTAGAATTGTGTTTTTGATGAGACCGAATTTCTCTTCAGTAGAGATAATGTTTGTAATTCCTACAGCTAGAGTTTTTAAGTGTGGAACAATATGTCTGCTTTCACCGACGGAATCCCGACTTCGCAAGGTCTCTGGTATTGCTTCATGAATGTACTGCCTGCATGACCCTATTGCGACACAAGCAACGCGGGCATGTTCATTAGCCTCCATTTGGTCTTTAACTAAACACTTGACAATATCGTGTACCACCTTGTGTAAACGAATGTTGACATCATCCTCTTTTTCGAGTAGCAACAGAGAGGACCCTTGAATCTGAATGCCTATGTCCTCTTTATCCAACTCTCCATCAGCATTTACAACGTAAGTGGTTAATACATCTAACCTCAATGGCTCTGGTGCACAAAAAGCAAGAAAAGTAAAGACGTGCTTCATTATTTCATCAGAATCCATTACCGTTTCAAGAGCTATCTTGGTCGCTAAAGTCATAGAGTTTGGGTAGATATTGTTTACATTGACAAGTTCCTTTTCAGTGAGTTCACGTTTGCCTTTCTCTAGTTTTTCTAAGTACCCCTCCCAGCCGAAGTTTGGATTGGTATTTCGCACCTTTCTCACGTACACTCCTGCGCTGGCTAGTGCAAGTGGCTGGTAATCCAATGCGTGGGCTACGTTTTTTCCCATGTCATTGTCAGTGATTCCAGAGAGCTCGGTTAGAAGGCAAATAGCATCAGCAGGCTCCATGCCTTTGCTTATGGAGATGTGGGATGTGAAGGAACTATCTGGAGGCATACAGGTACAATCTTGCGTTGTGATTAGCAGCTGGCCTTTGCCCCACTGCTCATTTCCACGCTCAGGAAGAAACTGACCTGTCCAAGGAAGATTTGTGACATTGTCAATCACTAAGAGCCAAGATGAGTAAAGGTGAATTTTTGTCGCAATTAAATCTTTGATAATGGCTATTTTTCGTTCATCATTTAGATCCTTGGAGTTTTCGGTGGTATTCATAGTAAACTCGGGGCAGTGCATTTTTCTTGCCAGTGACAGGTACGATGTTAAAAGCGCTTCTGGGTTTTCAGCACTTAAGGTCATTACAAATGACGGAGCATTTGTGTCTTTGCTGGCTTCTTTGTAGTATTTCTCACCAACTAGTCCAGCCAGCTGGGATTTGCCACTCCCAGGATTGCCTGAAATATAACAATAACTTAAAGTGTTCTCGTTAGCCTTCCTTAAGTTTAACAGCTTCTGTGTTACGTTCTCAACGTGGAAATCGCGATTTGCGATCACATGGGGAGGTTTGGGTGGAAGGACGCAAAATGGCTCTACTTCGCGCTGTAGTTGCTCTTCAAACACCTTGCTTTGTTCTTCAGAAGTTTTTAGCCTGTCTTTGTTCTCTTGAAATTCCGCCTCTTTCGTCTCAAGGTCTTGAGTAAGTTTCTGATTACTTGTCTTCACATTTTGCAACTCATCGGTTGGAAAACTTTTCTGCTTACTTACTGTTTGGATTTCAACAGTAGATAGGCCAAGAGCTCGAAATGCTTTCTCCACTTTTGCCACGGTGGTTTTGAAGTCTGCATTTGAGAACTGACCTTCTGTCCTGTGAGCGTAGAATTTATTTCGAAACTCTCTGAGTTTATGAACGTTTTTTCTGATCAGTTTACTCAGTCCAGGTCTGATAGAATCAGAATGCAGGATGGCATAAAATAGCATAGTACAATCCCACTGCACCCTGTTTCCATTTACCATTGTGAGTAACTGTTCGGCATTTCTTGATTGATTATCTGCAGACTCACCGTTTTTAAAGTCCAGGCCATTTTGAGGCGTGTCCTTCCATTCACCAAGTGTTGTCTTGTAACGATTGTCCCATTCCTGCTTGAACAGTAATCGTAAAGCTACGGGTAGTATGTCAGTGGCTATGTGACAAACCCGGAAGTAGTTAAGCTGTTCTTCCGAATACACTTTAGAGGCCATTTGGTAACAGAAGGAGGGTAACAGTCTTGAAACCTGTTTTAAAAAAATTTAATACAAAGAATTTACCAAATGAATTAAATGTTCATTGCCTGACACTTCGTGGATATTACAGGGATAAAGGGAATTTCGGTAATACTTTTATTTAACTAGAATAACCTAGAGAAAAAATACACAAGTGTTCAGATAGCCTAAATAATAACACGTATGTGATAAAGAATTTTGAAATAACGTGGAAAGTGCACAGCTGACCACAACACGTGTTGCTCCGATCGACTTTAACGCAAACGTCGTTGCGGAACTACGCATTTTAAAACTGAGAGACTCTGACGAGGATTTGAGCCAGGGGCAAAATGTAATCCGGCAGTGTAGCATGCAAAACAGGTCGACTGAAGAAACCCTTTTTCACGATCGCACCCGAGGCCTGACGGCTATGGCAGGTCTGCTAATGCAGTTTCCAACTTTTGCTCTTAGTATGGAAAGACATTTTCTAATACAACAAAGTCAGGTTCTAAATATTTTAAATCTTCATCTTCAGAGGCTACTTCACGAGGATAATGATATTTTAAGCAGGAGCCCATAACCCGGAGCGAGCAACTTCCATGCACTCGTGCCACGGCGTTTTCATGGGCCAGTTTATTTTTAGAATGGTTTTGACGCAAATTTTTAATATCTTTTAAATTCCACAAACCAGTCAGCAAAACCTACTGACCTAAAAATGATATTTTGTTGCCTTTTAATAAAAACGTTAAGCTTTCCTTTTTGATATCTTATACGTTGAATGCGCTCATAGACATGGTGGAGATTCTATTTTCGCGGGAAAAATTGCCCTAAAATGTTTCTAAAAATAAACTGGTCTGTACAAACGCCATGACAATAAGGCCTAGTATGGGAGTTGCTCGCTCCGGGTTATGGGCTGCCGTTTTAAGTTAATTCTGTGCTGAAGTCATTAATTAGTGCCTTTACTCAATACATAAAAAAGGTCCTGTAGAGTTACGAAAAAGATATCAAATAAATTTCATCAGGAAGAAGTAATTATAATGATTTTGGTGATTTAATTTTGCAGGCATAGCATTAAAACTTGAAAAATTTGGCCCAAGTTTTTCAAGTTTCAGTCAAGGTCCATCCTTGTGCTCTGTTGCAACAGACAACAGGAGACAGGTTTAATCTCTAGATATAAGCCAGCCTAAAATAACAAACCTGGACCTTTTGGGGGGGGGGGAATTTGATTAATGCGTTACAAAGATGGCATGACACATATAGCCCCATTAAGTTATTAAAAGATCAGTCTGAGATGAACCCAAACCACAAAAAATATTTACAGTTAAGCATCTTTAATTTTCCTATAGCCACTCGCCGGGAAGGAAAAAAGAAAGTTTAGTGCCTATTATCTGCTATTAATCCTTCCAAGAGAGGGTCTCTTGATTGATGACTTCTGAAAAGGTGGTTAGTGGGCATCTTTAAATCAACAATACTAAAATTCATCTTTTGCCGATTTTTTCAGCCGATTCGGCATTTTAGGGCCAGATTTGGTTGCTTTACGCTCAAAAGTAGATTTTCCCGAAAACTGACTGGGACTTGGATTGACCAGGTTGCTCCAGGGAAATTTGACAAAAAACCAAACTGCTAGTTAAGCAGTTTTCTGTGTACTGGGTACTGTTTTTGGGCTACAAAGAATGAAAAAGCCAGCCCCTACTCCACCCCCCAACCCCTCTGTCAAGCAGTTTCAGACGCTAAATATTGGCCTTCGAACTGAGTCCGGGCAGGCATGTGCTTAAAGGGTTCAGTGACACAGCAGTTCAACTTTCTTCCCCACCCTCTTCTTTCGCTTTTCATCCTCCGTTCATTTTTCAAGTTTTGCTGTGCATTCATTGATTAGAGACAAGCCTTCATTTCGAAAGAAAAAAATGGGGAGGGGCGGAGGGCATTTAGGATCATATGATTAGATGGAAGGAAGTGCTGGCATGATGATATTGCTGTTTTAGGTCAATTCTATGCTGAAGTCATTAATTTCATGGCGATGCCTTTACCAATATAAAAAATCCTCCTGTAGAGTTAAGTTAGAGTTAAAGAAGCTATCAAACAAATTTCATCACGGAGCACTATTATAGCAATCATAATATTTTCTTTTTTGGTCACATGTTCATCCTTGCCATCCTTGACAACAAAAGACTGGAAACACTTTCAATGCCTAAATATGGCCCTGAATAATTTTTGGACTTCGATAGATGCAAGAAACGTTTTAGCTTTTTAAAAAGATAGTAGATGGCATGACAAAGTTCCTTTAAGGGATGGGGGTTGTCATGAGGTACATCTTGACAGGGAGTGTTACCTGACGACCAACAGAACGCTCTCGTAACTCGGGTGACACTAGAAACCAAGTATATAAGATCACCCTTCAACTTTACTGATACTCCTAAAGTTATCTTTCAAATAGCCAAAAAGAATAGTTTAGACCGCTTGCAGTCTGCATTTTCTCTTAGATCCATCGAGTTATTCTAAGACGGAGTGAGTGCGTATGTAGACATTAAGAGCGTGTCTCCGTAAAAACCGACCAGTGATTTCGGATCAAAAAATTAATTTCCCTTATATTCTGGGATATTAAAGCCTTCACCTTAGTAGTTACAAAAATACATTTCGTTTGACCGAAAAAGATAAATATATTTTTTTACGAATTTTTGAATTTCCGGACGATTAGCGCTGGCGTCATAGCCTTTCAAACTGCAAAAATCGCTAATATTGACCGCGCTCTAGAAAACGAACAACTCGCTCAAAAAGCATGATTTTTCTTTTCCGTATACAGATACACCACTGTAGATTTCCTAGCCATATCACAGTTTCGAAGTATTTGTTTATTTCAACGGCAATGATTTTTTCCCCAGCACGTGTTTTCGGCTTTCCATCAAAACACGAAAGTAGCTCAACTTTGAGGGTAATTTTAAAAAGTGTGGCACCTGTCTGAACTTCGCTATCTGTATGAATACAATCTAGGAATGATAGAAAAACACAAAAAGGAATAACATTTTTGTGCTCTCCACGTTTTCAGAAGAGACCGCCGTTTGAATTTCCAGAAATTTCGTAAACTTGATAATTAACGAACACTTGCCTTGTCGATCTGCTTGTCAAGGTCGAACTTCATTTGATGGCGTGATATATCTTATCCAAGTTCTTTCACATTTTAAGGTTATTTCTCAATCATCTGAAACTATATTGGCCGTTGATTCCATGTCCTTTGTCCGTTTAAAGAAGTTATCTGGTTTATAAAATGGCAGCCATCCGCGAGCGTGACTGGTTCGTGACACCGTCCTGAAAGGTCTTTTGCTAAAATTAGTTGGGTGCAATCTTGTTCATTGAGATTATACTCTTCAAGACATCGCAGTGAAATTTGTAGGGCAAATAAAACACGTTCCTTTGCAAATACGACGCGATGAGTCGCTGACAAAGCGTTTTAAGCAAGTCTTCTGACAAACTTGAAAAATGCGTGACTTTGTATTTCATCCCCAGTTCTCCTGCATTGTGTGATGACCTGAACAAATACTAGCTCGTTCACTTGTTTATTAACTTCTTAGGTTGTAATGTCCCTCTTGGTTTTTGTAGAGGATATTTTTGCTCCTGAAGTAGCCGCTTTAACTCTAAAAACATCGAATTTTTTGTTTAAAACCTGTCCTTCAACGGCATCTTTTATCTAGTTTGTATAAAAGTAATAGAGAGCGTCATCAGTTGCGAGCGTGACACGGTTGTTTCCTAACATTTTCTGTAAAGTTCGATGTAATTAACATTGAATCGCCATACTTCGATACATTTTCTTCTTCAGCTTAACATAAACGCACTGACAAAAATGGTTCAACACATTTCAGCTAAGAGAATTGAGAAACCATGGCCACGCTACTACAGTTTCCACGTCCTTCCCAGGACCCCACGCTGCGCGGAAATTCATTGAACTGGACCCTGGCATTCACATTCCGTGCTGTTCTCATATCCTTTTCAACCTGAACAGGGTCCGCCTTGCGGCCAGTTCGCTCACCAATTTCAAACTTGGCTGTAAGATATTCTTTAACCTCACGAGAAAACCGGATGGAACCTGCGTGGGCCTTGCTTAGTGCCCATCCCATCTGCAGGGTTTCTACGTCAGTTGATGATTCGGACGCCAACATAAATGGTGTAGATTTTTTCACAGCCACATCCACTGATGTAAATTTTGTTGCCCAGTCCTTTCTGATCTTGTTTACTCAAGTCTGGGCTTAGAGAAGGTAATGTCACAGTTTTTCAAATTTCAATGACCATGAAAGTCAGAGTCCGGGTAGTTAGTTAATCAATTGTGGCTCTGAAAAAATTTGAAGGAAAAAAAAACTACGAATTTTTAAGAAAATGCTGTTTTCGTGAGAAGGCTCTTAAACGCTGACAAACGTCAACAAATAGCGAAAACTATAATTTCTATATGTTTGCTTTGCTCGAAATCGCGCGCATTTACAAGGCCCTAAAGCTCTTTGCTGACTTGCAAGGACCCATCTGTTATAACGATGCCCAAAATAAAGGGATGAATCTCATAGTTTATTAGATATAATCGTGTAAAGTTTGCTTATTATTTTCGCATAAATTATCACCTAAATTTGGAAACCGCTGAATTTCTCGAATTGGGTCTTTGCGATTTTGGTTGGGCAAGGCACTAATGCGCACAATGTGTAGCCGAGAAATTTTCACGAAAAAATACCGGCAACAGCAGATTTTTGACTCAGACCTCAAAGGGGCGTGGCATTATAACCACATGACATTTACTCCGATCGCCAAAAATTTTATGTTATATTGTAGATTGATCTATACGTTATACATTCTATGTGTTAGACTTACGATAAAAGTAAAGGTGGGGATACCAGAGAGCTTCAAAGTAGGATGGCACCCCCCCAAAAAAAAAAAAAAAAACTGGGTCGAGTCACCTTAAACACACCTTGTCTCTTCATATTCCCCTAATTTCTCACTCTCAGTGTTTTCCCCCAGCCAACGTTTATTTTCCTCATATTTTTGTCTTTGCTTCTTGACACAAGTAGTGCAAATTGCTGTGCATTAAAAAGTATCACAATGATGAATTTAACTTTTAGTCAAAGTCGATTCGTAGCGTAAAACTTACTTTTAGAACCAACACTGAATTGATAATTGACAACTGGCAAAATAAACTCAAAACAGTTTTTAATCTCGCGGTTAGGTCTTGAGGTGTCGGAAAAATAGTTTTCAGGATATAGCATATAGCAGGGTTAAAAAACGTTTCAAATACAAAATCCCCGATACTCACAAAATAGGGTTTTTAAAGAAGGGGAACATTCCCTGCTAGCAGAGGTCTCTCACGACGAGGCAAAAATGAGAGAAAGGAGAGAGTCTCTCTCTTTTCTCTCATTTTTGCCTCGTCGTGAGAGACCTCTGCTAGCAGGGAAAGGGGAACATTGCCAAGTGTTTCGCATAATTTCGTGGGTCACGTGCATGTAGGCTACTTTACCGAAATTATCTCTTACTTTGAAAAATAGAACGCTATGAATCAACGTAAAAAATAGACAGTCCTGTAAAGACATTCTAAGCACCTTTTAAATCTCGCAAAAATCCAGGAATACTTGTGTATTTTTGAACGTCTGTGTTGTAACAAATATACTTGTCCTAATTATACTAACGCGCTTGACCAAACAATGTAAAACAAGAATGTTCATTTCATACTTGTTATTTACTCAATCCAAGATTTCTACACTTACATCGTGGCACTGTTGCCAAAAAATATAACTGGTTATGATATAAATAGCCGGAAAAATAAACACCTTATGGAACGATTCCCTTTCAAGGTTTTACAACAACGTTGAATGGTTATTCCCTCGACCTTCTCTTTTAGTCTTTATTTATAATTAGATTTAAAGTTTGTTACACAATTCGGAAAACTTGACCATGACATTTACCTTGGTTTTAAGAGTTCTTTTATTCTATTGAAAGTTAAAAAGTAAAGGCGCCTCACATACGTCGGTACTTCGAAATGATCATTTCATCATTATCTGAAAGACAAACCTTTTTAAACGCCCTCTTCATCAGTACTCCGTTTTACGGGTATTTAAGCTACTTGAAGCTACACGGAAAGAATTTCTCACACCTGGCCATGGACATCAATCTCAAGACCTCTCACACAAAAGACTCCAAGGGCTACGAAATAACCAACTGTGTCAATCGTTGCTCCTCAAAAAAGGGAAAACGTAAAATATTGTGTAGTAGAATGCTTACCTGACCCAATGGGAATTGTGATTCCAAAAATTGCGTGAATATTCTTGGACATCTCCAAGTTGATAACATGATTATTTTTTAGCTTTTTCCTTGCTCCTGAATGAAGAGGATATCGACATGTCCTCAACGGACGCCAGTTGCGACCCAAATTATGTCTGTGTTTTGGACACACGAACATTTCTTCTTGCCGGTGTTTTGGCACATCGAATAGACCCGCCCTGACTAGTATCAGTTCGTACTCCATCATTCCAGATAGTTTTGAAAGATGGCATGTCTTCAAGTGGATCGTTATATCTTCCTGGCATTCTCGCAACCTACATACTGTATCCGAACCTCGAAAACCTCCAAAACTAGATTTTCCGAAGCCCGAGAAAGAACACTTCACTGTATCAGTAGCCATGTTACCCCTTGTTTGATTTGTGTCCAGTCCAGAAGGACTGGGGATGAAATACAAAAAGTCACGCAAATTTCAACTTTAATCTGAACTGGGTTAAATCGCCTTGTTAGCGACTCATCGCGTTTTATTTGCAAAGAAAAGTGTTTTATTTGCTCTACAAATTTCCCCGCGATGTCTTGAAGAGTAATCTCAATGAGCAAGATTGCATCCAACTAATTTTAGCAAAAGACCTTTCAGGACGGTGTCACGAACCAGTCACGCTGGCAGATACTGCCATTTTATAAACAAGATAACTTCTTAAAACGGACAAAGGACATGGAATCAACGGCCAATATAGTTTCAGATGATTAAGAAATAACCTTAAAATGTGAAAGAACTTGGATAAGACCCATCAAGCCATCAAATGAAGTTGGACTTTGACAAGCAGATCGACAAGGCGAGTGTTCGTTAATTATCTGGTTTACGAAATTTCTGGAAATTCAAACGGCGGCCTATTCTGAAAACGTGGAGAGCACAAAAATGTTATTCCTTGTTGAGTTTTATTATCATTCCTAGATTGTATTCATACAGATAGCGAAGCTCAGACAGGTGCCACACTTTTTAAAATTACCCTCAAAGTTGAGCTACTTTCGTGTTTTGATGGAAAGCCGAAAACACGTGCTGGGGAAAAAATCATTGCCGTTGGAAATAAACAAATAATTCGGAACTGTGATACGGCTAGGAAATCTACAGTGGTGTATCTGTATACGGAAAAGAAAATCAGTCTTTTTAAGCCAGGTGTTTGTTTTCTAGAGCGCGGTCAATATTAGCGATTTTCGCACTTTGAACGGCTATGGCTCCGGCGCTGACCGCCCGGAAATTCAAAAATTCGTAAAAAAATATATTTATCACTTTCGGTCAAACGAAATGCATTTTTGCAACTACTAAGGTGGAGGCTTTAATATCCCAGAATGTAAGGAAAATTAATTTTTTGATCCAAAATCACTGGTCGGTTTTTACGGAGACACGCTCTTACAGTCAAACCAGGTCAAGCGTACCCCCCAAGAATAAATTAATGAATTTATTATTCAAAAGTTGAATCCGTTGCTAGTTGTAGATTTCAGATTGATCTCTGCACTCTTGCATGTGTAATGAGCCGTGAATTCACACGCGAGGCAGTTATGAAATTTCTACCTGCTCCATTTTCCTGAAATTGATGTAAATGTCTTCTAAGAAGCTTAATCCATTCAAAGATATCCAATCTGACCAAATACAGAGAAGTTCTCGCAAAATATTCACTGCTCATTAAGCATGCAGAAATGCCGCTTTGAATTTGACACCAGTTACGGGAACGACTCACGGATTCATTTTTCAAATAACCAATTCATTAATAGAATCTTAGGGGGTACGCTTGACTTGGTTTGACTGTAATAATCTTTTTTTTTATCCTACTACATGAAAAATAAATGCAATTTGATTGGCTTAGAGCAGTGGTATTTCAGCTTAATTTGAAATACCTACACGTGAAAATTACCTTTGCGGGTAGTAGTATAAACAAACAATAGCATAATTTGTACATTTGGCATAACTACCACTCGTGATATATTTCAAATTGTCTCAAATTTCACTCTACTTTACGTATAACAATTTCGAAATATCACTCGTGGTATTTATGCCAAATATCACTACACATCTAAGAATTTTGTGGACGGAACACAGAACGAACGAATCGAGAAGGGAGGAACTGATCGATGGTTAGAGAACTTTAAAAATCAAAAGGCGGACAGAAGCTGAAGTACCGTATGTTGGTCATTTTAAAAGAAGGCATACTTTGGAAAAAGTTATCGTGTAGGGATGGGAAAGGAAAAATTGGGGAGCCGAGGACCAAGAAGGAAAGGGGAAAAGGGTACGTCATGCAACGTTTTTGACAAACCATTAGGGAGCTTGAACTTTTGAGCCACGCACGTCAACCGGAAGTAAGTTTTCTTCCCTTTTTATATGCCTTGATGCTACCAAATTGTATTGCTAAGTTTCTTTACTCTTAATGAGACGACTTACTTTAAAATTTGGGCAAAACTACGGCCTAGAATGCAAAAAGCCCACTTTCGTTTGACCTGCGAAGTACTACAGAAGGACGTCTATGCAACGTTTAGTTATCTATAAGCAGTTAGAGAGGGAGAGAGAGAGATTACTTTATTGGAGATTCTAAACATTACTTACCGCTTACGTGTACAATATTCAGCTCCAAAAGGAAAACTGCTCTCGATGAACAATGACAACAAAACGCGATAGAATCGGTGTTCGGCTACAAACACAAAATTTCATTCGTAAGCACATTCTGTCTAGGACGTAGACTTTACGTTATCGATCACGCGATCACGAGATCATTTACCCGCTACAAACAGGTCAGCGGTTGAAGAAAAAGTCAATGGGTGTAGGGTGGGCGAAATTCTATGAACATGGAGTTGAGGCCAGGCTATATCTTTTCCAGGGAGATGGTACACTGTCTGTATCAGCAATTTCAGAAAGCGTAAAAAAGATGAAACCCTCGCCACTCGATGGTTTATTTTTCGTTATTTATGCTGTGGGCTCTGTTCTGGCTGAAACTCCAACGTCTGGGAACAATATAGACACTTCTGGAGAAAATAATTCCACGATCAAAGACCCGAAAATGTTGGTTTGTATCCTTTTGGTGCTAATTACTGTACTTTTTTTGCAAGCTTTTAATATAATTAAGCTTAACTAAAAATATTCCACCTGATAAGAACTTCTTTAAGAGACAGCGGGCTTATTAGAGCTTATTGTTACAGTTTCCTATCTTCGCTCGCAGATCGTGCAATTTTTAAAGAAAAACGTGCTCAACAAGTCGTTGCTGCAGAGAGTATTCTAAAGCTTGCTGATTATTCCAAGCAGTATAAGATGGTCGAAATAGTACTTGAAAAATTATTTAAGGTAATCAGTGTACCAATTTACAAATGCTACTTTTGACATAAGTTCCTGAGTGAGAGTGCGGTAGAAAACGAAGACCTAAGACCCAAGACCCATAAACGAAGACCCCCCTTAAAATCACTTATAAATATCTAGAAACGGGTATCTCGACCTTTAAAGATGTGTGAAAAAAAGCAATATCTTCAATTATACAAAATTTCGACCAGGGTCTTCATTTTCTACACAATCCCCCCGGTGTGTAGAAAATGAAGACCCCCCTCAAAATCACTTGGAAACGGCTGAACACTGCTTTTAACGACTTCTAGACACCAAAGGAGTGTAAGAAACAACACAGCTCCTGACGATTAAACCCATGACAACATTAAGATCTCCCAAGTGACGTGGTTATTTAATGTCAGAAGAAATCCAAAATCCATATCTTACAATGTATGTAATATTTTCCTAATTAAATATATATTGACTTTTCTATGGAAAGTGTTTCTGTTTCATTTTAGTTTTACTTTGTAGAATTCATCATGATAATACTCATTAAACTTGTGGTACAGTCAAACCTTGTTAACACAAACACTTAGGAGACCACAGAAAGTGTCCGTAGTAAGTGGATTCAATATTTAAAGGGGAAGATGTAAGACCTTTCTTTTTCCTAGGACAACTCTCCCTTGTGCTTGCACTCGTTGCAGTTTCTCACATCCCTCCTTGTGATGTTTAGAGTAGAACTGAAGAGCTGTGGAGAGTCTAGAATTTTATTGGAGAAGTGTTTCTCTTCTGTGCAGGGCTTTTCCGAAGGACACTGAAATAAGTGGCTGGAGTGTGTGTGATTTTCATTTATTAAGATTTTGTAAAACAGCAGGTACTAACACGGGTTACAGGTTTTTTTTCGGTACAAAGTTATTTCAATACAAGTTTATCGAGTGAAGTTGTAATATGATTTCACATACAAAATACTTGGCTCAAAGAACAAAGAATATTCACACAAAATGTGTTTTCTCGTTCATGCACAAACTGGCCATAATAAGAACTCAGAAACATTTCTATCGTCAGTAATAAAGACGTGACTGCGAGCAGAGACTTAAGACTCGTATTTTTCAGATAAAAATGTTGACGCTGATGGAAACAAGGCTGGACATTAACCCCCTGACAACTCTAACATCTCCAAGTGACACACACGGTTATTTAATGTCATGGAATGGGGCATTTTGATGGCTATCACGGAAGACATGACTTTGAACACTTTACAGCAAAGGAGCAGCTTCCACAAAAAACTTACACGAAGACCGCGGTAGAAATTTTGTATAATTGAAAATCGTAATGAGCCGTGTTGTTTCTTACACTCCTTTAGTGTCTAGAAGTTGTTAAAAGCAGTGTCCAGCCGTTTCCAAGTGATTTTGAGGGGAGTCTTCGTTTTCTACACACCAGGGGCTTGTGTAGAAAAGGAAGACCTTGGTCGAAATTTTGTATGATTAAGAATCGTCAGGAGTCATTTTCTACACAGTCATACATTGTTTAGAAAACGAAGACCCTGGTCGAAATTTTGTATAATTGAAGATATTGTTGTTTCTTACACATCTAAGGTCGAGATACCCGTTTCTGGATATTTATAAGTGATTTTGAGGGTGGTCTTCATTTTTGGGTCTAAGGTCTTACGTCTTTGTTTTCTACCCACCCTCGTGAGTGAGGGCTCGAGCACCCAGCAAATAACCTGACTTCTTAATAAAATCAGGGTTCTCTTGGGTTAGAGGGGTTGACCATTGGATTAGATGTAGTATCCCCAATGAAGCAGTCTGCAGGGCACGTGCTTTAATATTTTAGTCAAACAAACACTCAGTACATTTGTCAGTAGCTACCATCTTTGATCTCAAAAACGCTAGGAGATTGGGCATAGAGTACAAATGTAATGGCACTGTTCTAAACAAATACTGGTAAAATGAAGATGCGGGAAGGGAATTCTCACCTGTCTTCCCAAACCTCCCAGATGTATCACAATCAATAATAACTGTTTTAAACCAAGCAAAGCCTGGTGCTCTCTATCTTAATAAGCCTCCCCACGCAGATGTGTGTAGGCATTCATCACCCCTTCCACCCCCACGGTCCATAAGGAAGGAATGGGTGACGAATCCCTAAGGACGTCTGTGTAAGAGGCTATGTTATCTCTTGATGACAGTAAAATTATGTAGTCAGTTCACAATCAGTTGCAATAGCATGCAGCTCCATGTGTTTTTTTTTAATATTCAAAATAAAACTTAAAGTGATTGAAATAAAATGAAATTTAAGTTAAAATTATTTCAATGTACTTTGATGAATTCTCAATTTCGTTCTTTCTACAGTATTTCTAATCATTGGTCAGAAAAGATAGTACTGTAGTATTAATTTTAACTAGGCTAGGATTAGGGAACTTTTTTGTTTCTGTCATTATGATTAGGCTAATGGGAGGGAGACAAAGGCAATTGAGAAACAAACTAGGCTGAAATCATTTTGACCTCTGTCAGAATTATTTCATTTTAAAGGCAAAGATTAAGTCTGTAATTCTATCATTCCAATACAAATTTCATTTTGAATTACAACTGATAAGTCTTTATATTTATGAACTGGAGTTTTTTTATTCAGGTTTTACAGGATGCAAGAGTCATTAAAGTAACAGTCAGTCAGGATCCCAGGACAAGCATTTCTCACAGAACAAGCACAGAGGGTGACCTGGCTAGAAGACGACCTGTGTTATAGACCATAATTTGCACTAAGAGGTCATTATGTGATATTGTTTTTATAAAAATGTAAGTGATATATGATTTTACCTTTGAAAAATCGCGATTATAGTGAATCATTACAATTTTAAACAGTAGTGATTTGGTTTTTCAAACCCTGCACCATTTTCTTAAAATGAGTAAGATCGCAGCTGGTCACGTGTGACTAAAAAGTGAATTATAAAATTATGAATATCTCTTTCTGAACACAAATTTTGCACTTAAACTTCAAGGATTTCAAATGTTAAAAACATGATGTGGTAACGTTTACAGCACATTTGAGTGTTAAACCATTTAATGTGTAACAAGATGCAAAAGCAAGGAGAAAGTAGTTGTGGCCACATGGCGGCCAATACAAATCAATTTCTTTTGTTAAAAAAATCAAGGTTCCATAAAATATGTTCCTTAAATGTGTTTCCTCTCAAATTCGGTGTGCAATTTTTATGTGCACTGTCAGTTTTTGGTATTCAGCAAGATTCCAACTCATTGTTTTGAAAAAGGAAGCATTGGTCATGTGAGCTCTTAATTTGATGCAATTAGTGGCCTATTGATGGTTGGTAGTTTTAAAAATCTTAGTGAATTAAGCTTTCATTTTTGAACACAACTGTCATGTCAGAAGGACTAAAGTTGTTAATTGATCCAGTTAGCGCTAGTCCTTTATGTTTGTTTTTTACAGCCGAGCAAATCGAGCTCGGGTCGAAGCAGCAGAAATATTTCAAGTTGAGGGGAATTATTCTTTAGGTATATCTTGACCAGTTGACTGTCTTTGATGAAGAATACCCATTTTTTTAACAGCTCTGGCAAATGTCTTAGAGAACACAGCCCTCTTTGGTGATATTCTTCTTGAACTTCCTGATCATAACACATGAGGTAAAACAAAAGCTATTTATTTTAAAGTTTTAAAGGCTTTTTATAAGTCTAAAAGGGGTGTACCTGGTAACTTGATTTTTGCTAAAAAGGAAAAGTAGCATTTCTGCAATGGACATTTCCAGTCACATGTCTGTGAAAAAAGGCACCAAGTCAAGGCTTGGGAAGAAAGTCAAATACATAAGTGATTTAATTAATGTAAGAAATTGTCAGATATTGCATGCCTTCACCTCATTTCCTTGCATTTGCTCAATGGAACACTCAATGCAGGAAGGGTCGATGCACAGCTGACTGGCCACCGTCGGATTTCAATTAGGAGCAACCATGGCCACACAACAGAGGGTAGTCTGCCTGTGTCAATCTGCTGTGCTGTTATTATTACTGCAGTGAGGAAAAGGCTAATAAGGAAAAAAGAATTTAAACAAATTAATATTTGCCTGTATGAAACTGTTGAAAACCTTCAGTGTATGTCACTCTTTGCCCTCCATTCATAACAAAACTGTCGCTGAGAGAGAAACAAAATACAGCCAAACCTTCGTACAACAGTTACCCTTCGGAAATGGCATTAAGGTGACCGTTATATACACGGCTGGTGACGGCTATATACAGGTCAACTTTGCAGAAAATATAATTAAGGCAACTGGAAATTTTGGGAAGTTGTCCGGTGACCTTAATATACAGGGTGACCGCTATATACAGGGCAGTTTTAATACAATACAGGGTTGACTGTATTAAATTCATTAGAAACCAAGAAAGAGACTAAATTGAACACCTCCATGTGCGTAGGAATTACTGCTTCCGGTGATTTCAAACAGGGTTTGTCAAGGCTGCCGGAAGTAGAGCTGTCCGCTTACCTGAGTTTCCTTCTTTTTCTTTTTTGTTTTGCAAAATAGTTAGACTGTGTTATAATAATATTTTTCAAGGGGCTGTGTCACGACTGTCTAGTTCATTTTGTCAATAGGAAACTTAAGCAAAGGGGTTTTTGAGCAACGCACGTTAACCGGAAGTGGACTTTTTACATTCCTGAGCAGTGGTTTTGCCAAAATTTTCAGTTAAATCATCTCTACAAGTGTAAAGAAACTCAGCAATACAAATTTTATAGCGTCAAGGCATATTAAAACGGGAAAGTACTCTTCACTTCCGGTTGACGTGTGTCTCTCCAAAACGCTTTTGCTTAGCTCTCTAATTTTGCCAATTACTTGTTCTTATTTACTGTGGAACTTCAAAAATTACTTGTGAATGGCAACATCACAGGTTCATGTCGAACAAATATGTCTCCCAGGCATTATATCAAACGGTACAAAACACAAAAACGAACTTTTGTTATGCTAGCACTTTTTCAAAAACGATAATTGCCATCTGTTGCCCACGTCTTAAGTTTGTTCTCTTTTTTTATTTGCTGTGTTAGTTCTATCCTCGTTTCATGTTTTGAGCAGTTACTGAAATATTTCACTCAATTTTGTGAAGGTTCCCTTTGTTTGAATTTTGATTTACTTTATCGATGTTATCTAATGCTAGCCACAGCTCCTTTAAGCCCTACCTTTTTTGTCGTTCATCAAAAACTACAGTTGAACCTCTCTACAACAGCCACCTTAGCGACAGAAGAAAGTGACCATTGTAGAGACGAGGCTGTAAGTGGAGGCTCCACTGTATAACGGCCACCTCTCTCCAACGGCTATTTTAATTTTTGGCAGGCAGTCCATACATTCACTTATGTTTCATCCTCTCTACAATGGCCACTTTCTTCTGTTCCCAAGGGTCCCCTGGGAAACAAGGGCAGGGTCCAGTTTAAGTCTTCTAACACACGCAATTCAATGACTACGTACCGAAAACGAAGTTTGTGTTCCTCTCTGAACCTGTCGCTCATCTCATTGAATTCCCGTTCTTCAAGGGCAATGTGTACCATATGCCATGGCGGCAAAACCTTTCTGGCTTGCTCCCCTGTGTTTGGCACAGCTTTCAGACTTAGTTCTTGAAGGGGCATCATTTTCGATTAAGAAACAAGGTACAACGGTAAAGCGAAATAAGGGAAATTTCATGCTTCTTTTTTTTTTCTAACTGTTGGCTTTTCTTTCATTGGTGCTTTTTGGATTCCCCTGCGACTTTTTCCAACTTTATTGGTTTAGCCTATTCCCCTGTGTTTTTCACACACCTAGTATTTGCATAGAGCATATGGCAAGACACACTGTTTTTGCTAACGAAGCAATGAAATGCAAAGGCTTAGTAGACCCAAAAAACAAGCCGTTCGGCAACCTGCTACATTTCGAGGTGCAAGTAATCATTATGTTCTGGACCCGATGTTTCATGACAAATGACAGAAGGACAAAAATGAATGAAGAATTAACCCGCCTTCCCTGTTGCCTTCGAAGAGGTATTCCAATGTTCGTGGCATTTTCGTTTTCAAGCGGCTACAAACGTTTTTCTTCTGCTATGGAAAACAAACCTTATCCTCGCTTTTACCGTTGTCCTCACTGTTTCAGAAGGAACACACAACAAGTGTCGGTAAGTGTGTTCATCTATTTCCGTTCAGTTTTATTTCTTGCTTACCACTAAGATTATTTCTTTTCCTTGTATTGCTGGTTTGCACGTGACGTCACGGCGGCCATGTTGGTGGTCAAGAACAAAAGCATTTCTCTCCTCTGGGAACTAAACTCTATTTTCATGTAAATTTTTCGAGGAAATATTCTTTTGTTTTGTCCCCCAACATGGCCGCCTTGTCACGTGGTTGCAAACCAAGAATAGAGTGTTTTCGCATGACGTCACGGCGGCCATATTGGTGTCCCAAAACAATGAAACGGCGGCCATGTTGGTGTCCCAAACCAGTCCTGTGGGAGTTGAACTCTTTTCTTATGCAAACGCTTTCTTTTGTTCCAATAAATTTACATAGATGCTGGCCACGTGAGTGAAAACACTCTATATTGATGTGATTGTCGCTATGGGAAACGAAGGTAAACTATATGATGCAAGATTTTTTTTCATGCTTACCACTAAGATTTTTTCTTTTTCTTATAGATTAATATGATTGTCGCTTTGGCAAACGAAGATAAGCTATATGATGCAAGATTGGCCCATATTTTACAGTTATTTAGACAGGCTCATCCAGAGATACAGCTCTGTGAATTAAAAGTACACGGCAAGAGACAAAATATTCTCGTTTACCAGCTGCCCTTTCCTTTATTTTGTAATTTTGCGATTGATATTTTTAAACATGTAATTTTGCGTTTGATATTTTTACACATTACATATTTTTATTCCTTTCATTGCATACTGCGTCATATGTTTTACTGACTACTCTCACGTGTCTCTCCTTCTTATTTCCGACTCTTTTCGACCCCTTCCGATGATCACCTGAGCCTCGTTTTAGCTTCTTTTAGTTTTCTAAATGTTGCCTAATCTCTTTTATTGGTTAATTTCAATTCCCCAGCGCCTTTTTTAGTCTCGATTGGTGTAGCCTATTCCCTTGTGTTTTTCACACACCTAGCATTTGCATAGAGCACATGGCAAGACACGCTCTGTTGTGCCGTTTTTGCTAACGAAGCAATAAAATACAAGGGTTTAGTAGACCCAAAAAACAAGCCGTTCGGCAACCTGCTACCTTTCGAGGTGCAAGTAATCATTATATTCTGGACCCGATGTTTCATGACAAATGACGGAAGGACAAAAATGAATGAAGAATTAACCCGCCTTCCCTGTTGCCTTCTAGACTGTTCACAGTCCCCTATTTTTTCGTGAGATCGTTTAGGTATACTGCGTCTTACCGCCACGGCTATCTTGATTTTCAAATGTACCGAGGGGGCGGGCGTCGGGGATTATAGCTCTAGGTGAAGGGGGGAAGGTGGCGAGAAAAATAAAGGGACTGTAATAACATCACTGCAGCTTGCGTTCACGGAGCGCGTTGTACCAGCAACGCAGGCGTTTAATTGGTCATTAGACAATAGAAGTTAATTTGCGTTGATAACAGCTTTAGTTTCAGTTGCCGACACTGACAAGTCGTTGACAAGTCAACGTTTCCATAAAACGTACGCTTTCATACCATAAGGCACATCTTGCGTAAACACACGAATGATTTTTGATATTTTGATTAGGAACATGTTTCCTTGTGCATGTTTGCTGATTTCATTTCGAGGAATGACCCAGAAACATTATAAAATCACTGTTTCGAACGGAGATATTTGTAAACACGCTAAATAGATGCTAAATGTGTCTGGCATGTTTTTCATCACCAGCGGAGTTTCTTAATTAATGAATGGTAAAAGGCGTGAAATTCCTGTCACGCCTCCCGAACGCGAGCTGCAGTGATGTTATTACAGTCCCTCTATTTTTCTCGCTTCCTCCCAAACCGCCCCCGCCCCCTAAGTAGTTTTGACACTCATGCGAGATGGCGACCCGTAACGCAGAGCGCTCGATCTCGACGATCTTACGGAAAAATAGAGGACTGTGAACAGTCTAGTTGCCTTCGCACATCTATTGCAATGTCCGTGGCATTTTCGTTTTCAAGCGGCTACAGACCTTTTTCTTCTGCTATGGAAAACAAACCTTATCCTCGCTTTTACGGTTGTCCTCACTGTCTCAGACGAAAAACCAAGCACCAATACTCGGTACGTTTGAACATTTCGGTTTTATTTCGCAATTCATTTGCCCTTTGTTTTCGGGGATTAGTCGCCATCTTATTTACGTCAATGACTATTTCACAATCCTTTATCTTCAAGCAATATTTCTTAAACACACCTTTTCTTCTTGATTGATATGATTGTGACAGAGAACAAGCATGAAAAGAAATTCAACGATGCAAGAATCGCTCTCAGTTTAGATTTACTGCGCGACTATTACGGTCCTTCCATTCCATTGTACCAATATCCAGTTTATGGAACGCAAGGAAATCCAGTCATTCTCGATTTATTGGTAAATGGACTTCTTCTTGACTGGCTGATCGACTTTTATTCCAGTATCTCTCCAGACTTTTCTCTGACTTTATAATACTTGTAATTTGATGAAACAAATT